TGGACAGGTCACCAGTCTATCACAGGGCTACACTTAGAGACAGACAACCAAGCACACTCACATTCACACCTACAGACAATTTAGAATCATCAATTAACCTCAATATGTTTTTGGACCTTGTGGGAGGAAGCCGGAGAACCCGGAGAGAACCCACACTGCATGGGGAGAACATGCAAACTCCAGGGTTGATTATTATTATTATTATTATTTTACAGTCACATAAATGACAACATATTTGTTTGTACTATAATAATACACGAGTTACCTTCAGCCACATCCTCAATAAATTATTTTTTCCGCCCTCCAGTTTAATTAAGTGCTTCAGGGGGAAGTTGTCATTAATTTTTTAAATTTTAAGTCAGTGCTTCATGTAGAACTCCACCCTAGTAAGGATGAAGCGGTGTACAGATGATGGATGGATGGATGGATGGATAACTCCTAAACAGTTCTGTGAGACCTGATGTCCACATATTTATCAGGGGTTGACTTTACACATTACTTACCAACAATCTAAGCACCAGGCCCATTTAGTCGTGTAGTTCTGGAGCTTTTGATCATATCAAATGATCTTCATCAGAAGCTGGATTTCCCAGTTGTCTAGGGTCAGTATGTATATAGTTTTTTTTTTTTTTTCTTTAAGTAGTTCTTGTCCAAGTTAAGTTATGTTTTTTAAAGTTCATTCTTGACCTTGCAATCTCACCTCAGGTACAGATTTAATATTTTAAAAGAACATGAACTATGTGGGTCTGAAAGTAACCTATCTTTTGTTTTATTTAAAAAATAACGTCAGTCGATGTGTGAAAGTCTAAATAATGCATTTAAATGATAAAAAATGATTGTGTATGTCTTGCCAGACAGAACAGGGATTTTCATTCACCCCACACAATTTGTCAGTTTGGTAAAACAAACCTTTTCTTTTTTAGCTCTTGCAGATGTTAAAGTACAGTAACCTCTGCTGCTTCGATTTAAGGTGCAGTTTTGCTGGACACACTTAGTTGAAACCAAATTACACTCAAACACATATCAGTTCAAATAAAGCATCCAAGTTCATACAGACCACAAAGAAAGCTTAAAGAACAACAGTAAGTAAATAAAACTGAAAGCTGTCTGTTCAGGCTGCTCTTCGCTTTGCTCTTGTAAAGTCAAAAAGGAAGCAACAGCAACAATGGCTGACCGCTGATTGAATGTAATTGCTATATATCAGCTTTTATCTTTACAATTTTGGGCAGGAAACAAATCTAAATTGTCATATTTTTTTTTAGTATCTCTTTTTGTCTGGCCTACTTATTGCTTTTTGTAATTGTCTGCACTGTCCGGTCTCTAGATTAAATCAGATTATAGGTTGGGGATTTATTTATTTTTATGTTTTTCATATTTTTTCTGACATATATTGCATTTGCAACATGATTTGTAATATCCATCTATCACATATACCCACTTTATCCTGCAGAGGGTCACAGCAGGCTGGAGCCTATGCCGGTGGACATTAGACCGGAGGCAGGGCATCCTCCGGACAGCGCAGACGGATAACCATGCAACACACACACTGTCAATTCAATCATCCCAATTAACCTACCATGTATGTCTTTGGAGTGTGGAAGGAAAAACCCACGCCCAACACACAGTAAAGCCCCCGGCCCTGACCTTCTTCCTGTGAGGCAACAAGCTTCAATTCACTGTGTAATGGATTGAAAACCTATAAAGCAGCGTTATCACAGAAGATGCCATCGGAAACAGGACTGCTACACAAGGAGGACAACCAGACTTGTACTTCTACTGATATCACAGTTTAAACCCAGACATGCTGCAAAACCCATATCCTAAATTGAAGCCCTTTGTTTCAAATCATGATTTCAATTTGGTATCAATTAATAGTCCAGCTGTAAATATGAGTTTTCTGGTTTTACTGCGAGAGAGACGTTGTACTTCGTTGTCCACGGAGCTGAAACGGTTAAACTTAGTCCCAAGTCGATGTAGCATACAGGTACTGCACAGTATGTAGTATTTGCTCATTTGTCTTCACAGTTGCCATACCCCAGATTTTAACATAGCCTTGTTTTGCATTGTACAGGAAGTGAAAATGAGTATGCTTCAATTATGTCTTTAGGTGACAGCTCAATTATATTTCGTCAAACTTTGCAGAAAGAAAGCTTTTTTGTTTGTTTTCATACCAACTATTAAATACTCCTCGTATGCGCATCATGCAAATTGCACCAATTCTCTTTGCATGCTGCCATCTTTGTGAGCAGTTATTATTTGTCACTTCCCCCCCCCCGGTAATAATCATATTTATTTTATTTATCTTGCACTTTTCAGAATCTAGGTCATGTAGTGCTTTACAGTGCAGCGAAAAATAAAACAGAAGGTCATAAAAGCATCGTAATTTAAAAGACAGATAAAGGCACAACAAGGTGTATGTAACCAACACGGTGCAAAGAATTATACAAAGAAATAAAATACAGTTCAAAGCAAACAAAAACTTAAAAAGGAAACGGCTCTTCAATGAAAGTATGTCTTAAGAAGAGATTTAAAAGGCACTACCTGATTGACTCGGGCAGATTGTTCCAGAGCCTTTGGGCCCTTTAGTTGTCAGCTGGGCCCCTGGACTGGAAAGAAGACCTTGTAATCAGTATACCAGGCTCAGAGGATCCAGCAGGCAGGTAGATCTGTGTATCACCAGCATAAAAAAGCATGAAAAGATACACCAGATTTCTCAATAATTGGGATAATGGAAACAAAATAGGTCCCAGAAACGAACCCTGTGGGACACCATACTGAGAAAAATGATGAGTCGTGGTTGTTGTCGGATACACAGAACCTCCTATTTGACAGATATGATTAAAACCAGTCTACAGCCGTCCCACACATCCCTACCCAGCGCCTCGGTTCTGTCCGGCAGCGTTTCACTTTATTAGTTAAATCATTTAAAAGGTCGGCATCACATTCAACCGGGGCACTGGGGGCGGTCGGACTGAGGAGATGATCAACAGTGTTAAATAAAAAGTCTAGAATTGTGTCGCTGGGAGGAAATGAGTTCAGAGAAATAGTTTGTTCTGGCAAGCTTGACCACGCTGTTATATTGCACGAGTGAGTCCTTAATAACGTTGTGGTGCATTTGGAGACCGGAGTTCTTCCAAACCTGCTTCGAATTAATTTGAAGAAGGGACACAGTGCCACCTTCCTCTCCGTCTCTCTCAGTGTTCAAAGCAGTGTTGAAGAAGTATTCAAACACACTCTTTTTGCTTGTGTGTGCGGGTCTTTCCCAGTACTTATATGTCATGTTAATCATTTCTGAAATAGAAAGCAAGGCAAGGTTATGGGTTTAAACCTGCTCGGGCCTTTCTGTGTGGAGGGTTTTCCTCCAGGTGCTCCAGCATCCTCCCCTAACAATCTAAAAAGGTTAATTGGCTAAATTGCCTGTAGATGTGAGTGGTTGTCTGTCTCTTTGTGTTAGCCCTGTAATTAACTGGCAACCTGTCCAGAGTTGTCCGCAGTGTAAATGGGATGGACGGATGACATGCACTAAGCAAGACTCCATTTCCTTGACCATGAGCACAGAGAGCGAGTGTTGTTTGCTCGTATGGCATTGATAGTGCCACTCTGATACTCAACATGTTTACTCACTTAACACATCTCATCCCCAGCCACAGTGAGGAGATATGGCCGCATAACAGCAGATCTTTTTTCAAAGGAAAGCAGCTAATGTTTGTGTAAAAAAAGCTGTTGTCAAGGCCACAACACAAGAATACTTGCAAGAATGCTGTGTTGGGTTACTTTAAAATGTCATGCATGCTCATTTCAGCAGTGCACTGTGGTCACATAGTCATTCAGTGAGGAAAGCACATTTACTCTTACATGTAGGTAGGGAAAAAAAGTCCAGCAGCAGCCAATTCACTTACGTAACCATCATTCAATGCAGTCTTACCCTATATGTGAAGAAACAGTTTGAGCTTTTAACTTCAAATTCATCACGCCGCCTTTCGCCGCAGCGTGACTTTAAACTGGTT